CCATTTACTTTCAACCTATTTACGTTTTTATATTTAAAATTCATTACTAGGGGATAGCTAGAGTTGGGTCTTGTTACTCAATCTGACATTCTCTACCTTTAGTTACAGTATTTAGACCATTTACTTTTGATATGATTATGGATATGGTTAAGTTTATCACCTATCATCTTTCTATTTGTATTATTTCAATGGATTTTGGTAACAACCTTGTGAGAGGAGGGATATTTCTCCACAGTTTGCAGATGAGAAAGGCGGGGCTTGGGTTTAAGTCGCTTATTGGGACGCGGGATGGACTGTGCAGGGTGTCAGAGCAGCAGAGGCCACAGCACGTGCAGGAGCACCGACATTCTAGGTCCAGGCCCGAGCTCACACGACAGCAGCCAGCACAACCCGTGGCTCCCGCGGGAGGTGCCCAGGGACGGAGCTGCTCCTGTTGTGACTGTGGCTATTGCGCCTGCTCTGATCATTTTAAAGACAAGATGTTGTCGACACGGGTGGGCATGCACCAACAAGCTCCCCAGAACCAAACGTGCAGAGCCCACAGGCGGGCCTGGCCCACCCACCTCCTGGTTCCGTTAGGATTTCCAAAGTGCTTGTCGGCAGGTGATTGCAAGGTGTTTACTGGGCAATGCTGCTATAGAAGGAGGGGCACCCGGAGTCTGTAGCAGCTGGGGCGTACATTGTGATGGACGGCTGCAGTGTCCACGCTGACTGGCTGCCTGTCCGTAGTCAGTGTGTATGCCCCAGGGCTCAGCCGGCTCCCTTACTTTCTGTGTACTCCAGCCCAGGAGACTGTAGACTGGATGCTTCCAATGGGCAAAGCTATGGGGTCTGTGTGATACGCTCAGAACAGGCTGACACTGGTGAGAGGCCCCCAGGCCTTCCTGTAGCCCCAGCCGGGACAGGGCATCCCCAAGCTTTGGCCCCCTCAGGAGGGCTCTCAGTAGAGCCCCTCCCACATCCCGATCACACTGTCACAGTCTGTGCACGTGGGTAACTCGGAAGGCAGGTACCAGCCTCACTGGTTAGGGAAAGCAGGGCTGAGCAGCACTCAGGAACGGGCCACCGACAGACCCGGGTCAGTGACGCGCCCCTGTAAACCCGAGGGCTGACCCTGTATTAACAGCCAGTGGGTCTCATTCACCAAATCTCATTTTTCTCCTGATTTACATGAATGAAGTCCAAGTTCATTATTTCTGGATTTCTTTGCCCTGCCAGGCTCTTATATTATTTAAGCCTCCCAACAACCTCATGGAGGAAGCATTATTATCCCATTTTACAGGCGGGGAAGCTGAGGGTCCGAGAGGCCGTATGCACGGTGTGCCGCTTACAGGAACGCCATCTCTATTATGCATCCACTGCACAGTCTGTTTTTGATCCTAGACACAGTATGCAGAAAAGCTACATGCAAACACGGAAAGACACCACCGGTGCCAGCAGACCAGGGGAAGAAGTCTTTCTGGGAAATCTGAAGCAACACTCGCGATCTTTCCCCACTTCTTGAGGGGCTCCCTAGAAGCTGCTTTCAGTGAATGACTTGTTTCCATGACTACACCATTCCTTGGTGATAATTTTACAGGTTGAGCATGTCTCCAATTAAATCACATCATTCCTGCTTTGGGACGAAGGACTAGGTACCGAGCTTGGCAGGGCCAGGAGGCCCCAGCGGCGACGGCTGCACACAGCGGCACCGTGAGCTGCTCTCTCACACAGCTCCCTCGGAGCTCGTCAGAAACCCAGCTAAACCGCAGAAGACAACTTGCCGACTGGGAGACGCTGCATAAGACAGTTTTGAGCCCCCACCACATCCACCGCCAGGAGACCTCACACAAACTGAGCTGCTCCCCGTCACCCATCAATGCTCCCAGACACGCGTCCCACCCTGCCTGTGGTGGCACAGGGCCTATCACCTGGGACACGCTGCTCGGTCGGCATCTGGGATCCATCCTACCCAGGGTAAGATCAGCGGTCAGTGGATTCTTACCCATAATCCACCACCCGCAACTCATGAACCTGGGCAAGCCACAGGGCCTCCCGGAGCCACAGTCCCATGCTCGACAAGGCATTTGCCAAGACTGAATCCACTTAGGAAAGTAAAGCACCTAGCAGACCCCAGCCCACAGGGCATGTGCCATAAATGTCATTTTCTTTTCAGGTTTCTTGATCAGATACTAGTGGAGGAGAGTCCCAGGCCATCCGAGGAAAGTGGCAGGCATTTCAGTGTGGCTGACAGGTACAAAGGGACACTGAGACAGAGAAACTATAAACTGCCCCGTCCAGTGGGGTCACATCGTAAAGGGCCTTGAGTAGGATAAACAAGTCCTAATGCCCGAAGCACATCAAAAGCAAAGGGCATCAAAGAATCCCCTTCCAAGCGCCCTTCTCATTTCCAGGAGGACTGTCTTCTAGGGGTGTCTGCTCCCCCCCTCTAGGAACCGGATGTTGTGGGCCCCTGACGTGGTGGAGACGAGTGAAGAGGGAGGCGAAGGAAGGGCTCCCCGCTGGTGTCTCCATGTCTAGAACAGTGTTAGCTTAGAGCCGTAGGTCTCTGCATCTCGGGGGTGGGCCTGTGTTTACCGAGGACGAGGTTTATTCTTTATTTTGCAACATCTGAGCTTTTGAGATGCGCTGAGGGGAGAATGTATGATGAAAAGCAGTGCTAGTAAGTTCACCAATCTGTAAGCATCTTTCTGTTATAATGGACAGAAAAGAGGCATCTTGGACCTGGAACTGTCAAACCACGTCTGAGAGATGGACGTGGGGACCTGATGTGAGTCTGGAGGACAGATGGGGGAGGCAGTGTGCGGCCAGTCCGCTGGACACGTGGTGGTGACCACCGTCTGCATGTCCATGGGTGTGCCACGGGAGCACGCTGATTAGCATTTTGGTGGAAGCTCCTTTCTCACTAGTGTTTCAAAAGTACAGGTCAGATAACGCTTCTCTTAGGAGCATTATACTCTATGGACGCGGTTGCTTTAGGTCTCATTTTTAATTGAACGTTAAGGAAATGCAGCATTTTAATTATAACTCTGCCAATCCCTTTATCTAGAGGCCTGTTGCCATTTTTGTCCTTTACGAAATTTTCGTCACCAAGAAAGGTGGGAATACATTTTTTTTAATTCCAGGCTGAGTTGGTACTCTGTATTCTTGGTTATATACCTCTGGGGCTTGGAAATAGCAAATATCCCTGATGTGTGAGAAAGCATGATACATAACTGTAGGATTTTAATGACATAAAAAACAGAAGTTTAGCGGTGTAGACACACAGGGGACCTAAAGGGACACATTACACTGTAACTGCTTGTGATTCTGGGTGGCCTTGTTCTTCACTTCTTGTGTTTTCCAGTTCCCTATCATATGCACATGTTAACTTTCAAAAGATAAATGTTATTTTAAAAACCAAAGAATAAAATAAAAATATAAAGAGCCTTGAATGCAGAATCAAGAGGCTTTGGGACTCTGTTCAGGAGGGTGGTGGAGGGACAGGTGTCACAGTACAACAGACTGGGGTTACGGTGGGTGACTTAGGCTGTGTCACATCACCTCTCAGAGCGTGGGTTCCCTCATTGGGGGCTAAGACCACCTACTCAAAAAGTTGTCATGGCAACTTACAATGACAATTTATGTACAAGTGCCTGACAGCCAAGACTTACTCAATAAATGGTAACTATATTGAAACGATGACATGTAAATACATTTAAAACATTCATTAGCGTCTATATACATTTGTAATCATTAAAAAAACAGAAAACCACGTTCAGCCTTGCAACATCCACTGAAGAAAACAAAATCCATGCCACGGCCACCACTAGCCAACCAAGTCCGAAGAACGATGTCCCGGATTTCGGGTTTCACCCGAACCTCTGTGGAAGGAGGCCACACAGTGGAGCTGAGTGCAGAGGCCAACGAACGAGACGACGCTGAGCCTGAAGCCCAAGGTAACACGGGAACAGTCTGGTGTCGGTGACTGTGAGGCTGCAGGTGATGTGACACCCACGGGCCCGTGAGACGGAGTCGCCGCTGCAGCTTCCTCTCCATCACTCCCCACCACAGCCTCCCCCAGCACCGAGCACCGCGGAGGCCGGGCCGGTCACAGCAGCCCGCGCTGGCGAGAGGCGCCTGCTCCATCGGTGCCTTGACGTACACACGAGTCCTAACACAGCACTCAGCCTTCCGTGTGACCTCACTTAGGACAACGGCCCTGTCCCTCCAACCCAATTCCTCGTACCGCTGGCTCACCCCAGCTTGGCCCAGCTCTTCTGATGGGCCTCATCAGTCAGTGCCCTCTGAAAGGCTGGCATTAAGGCTGGGAGCAGTACCCCAAAGAGCTGGGCCTGCACACAGTCCTACCTGAAAAGTCAGTTTGGGTGATGCTGCGGCCTGCACCTCAGCGACAGCTCTTCAGACCCTGAGCCCTCTCACTCTGGACTCTGCCCTGCGGGCTCAGCCAAGCACAGCTCTCCCAAATGCTGCTGACTCAGCCTCGGAGCTCCTGGGTCACCATCTGGGGCCTCCTTGGAGACAACGGTGTCTGCCCACCCGGAAGCCCCACGGCCCCTTAACTCTGCACTGATGGTCACCTGATCCTTGCACACCCATCTGGCCTCCTTAGTGTTTATAAACCAGTGAGCAGAAGTTGTTGTCAAAGGATTATAAGAAGTTTATGGGATAAATATCTGACCAGAGAATAAGGATGCAATAAATACATTTTTCAAATGAGTAAGAAAAAGGCAGGAGGTGTTCTAGTGTGATCAGTATACTCCTCGACTCCACCCACAAATTCCCACGCTTTCAGGAAACAAGGGTGAGCGACATGAGACGCGACACACTCAGGCTCCATCGCAACTGCTCCCCAAGGCACCACACAGAGTGCAGCACCCCGAGACACCAGCTCGCCACAATCACGGTTCTGCTGTCAGGTACCCGCTTCCTTTCCTTTCTGGGAAAGACTCAAATCCGGCCGAGTCCCGTGGCAGGCTGCGCCTGTGGGACCGACTCACCTTCCCGTGGCTGGAGTCCCCGGGCCTGCTGCCCTCGGGGGGGTTCGCGGGCTTGCTCTCCACTCGCGACCTAACGACCTGTCGGAAGGGGCTGCACAGCGGGAAGCCGCTCACGCTGACGCCATCTAAAACGGAAGAAGAAAGATGGCGAGCAGGACGTTAGCTGGTTGGTTTTTTTTTTAATGTAAGAGATTTTGTTCAAAAGTAAATAGTAACTAGAAAGAGCAGTCCAGTTTCTGTCCCCAAGATCCTACCTGTGTCCGTCACACGGCCTGATACATCTTCCACGCACGTAAATTCTCACCCACTATAGCTACGGAGTTGAGACACAAGCCTGGCACGTGTCCCCAGAGGATTCCAGGAACGCTTACCCCGAGGCTGGAGTGTGAGCAGGGCCTCCGACATAGTCACACGGCCAGATGGGGAAAACGCTGGGACTGAGTGTCCCCCACGGAGAGAGGATGCTAAGTCCTGGAAGCTTTGGGCGGGACCCCAAAGGACGACACACTGAGTGAGGGGCAGACTGGAAATGGAGCCGCCTCGCGGGGACCGCAGCCCAGCTTTGAGCAGTGTCAGCCCTGCTACTGGACTCAGGCAATTCTTCTGCCAAACGTATAGTCCTTGTCACTCCTACTCCGCCCGCCTGGAATCTTTGTCTCAGGCCAAAGCCGTCCTCTTCCACAGGCCTCGCCTCGTCACCCCGGCTGCCAGCAAGTACGCCTTCCTCTGAGCTCTGACACCTGTCGTCCCTGCGAGCCGCGCTCACTGCACGCAGCCCGGTATCCAGGCAGGCCGGCTGCGTGGCAGGGCCGTGGGCGCGGAGTCAGACCGGCCAGCGGCCTGAATCGTGGCTTCCCCACCATCTGGCTGAGTGGCCTCTGACGTGTTATGTAACCTCTGTGCGCTTTACATTCCTCATCCCCAAAGTGGGACAAGTACAGCATAAGCTGCAGGATTGTCTGGAAGAGTAAATGAGTTACGGTATAGACAGTGCTTATCACCACGCCTGGTACGTGGCAAGCCGTCAATAAAAGGAGTTATTATTCTTATCACAGCAGCTGAGCACGTCTTAGCTTCCTTCCATGACTGTACGCTCCTTGAGGACCGAATCCTTGTCTCCCTCACTATTTTATCCTCCACAGGAGCTAGCACAGGCTCCAGCACATCATAAACCCTCCTTAAATGTTAAGTAAATGAATTCATAAATTACAGGGTCAAATTCAATACTTAGTTTACACACCATGTTCAACAAAAACATGTCATCCCCAAGTCACACTCAACAACCAGCTCCTGGTTAAATGGAATTTCACCCTGTGTCTCCATGCAAAAACTCATTTGCAAAGACGTGATCCAAAGCTTTAAGGGTCGAATGAGTTTTTTTCCTCTCCCTTTTCATTCTCCCAGCACCACGGGCACAGCCTGTAAAACCTCTCCACTACTGCACGGCGCCTGCTGTGCAGGGAACGAGTATTATGCACACAGACACTTGCGAACCTTAACCCGCACCCTTTCAGTGTCCTGCCCTAGAAACCAGGTCAAGAGAAGCCTGTCAACTGAGCACGGCACTAACAACCAGTAAATGTCACTCGGCCCCCGGGTCGTCCTCTCCGAGTTAAGGCCCAATGCCATGCCCGTCCGCCCTACCAACACCCCCGAAGGCCTGGGACACAGCCACTTAGCTCTTCCCGAGGGAAAGCCCACCGCTGGCTCATTACGCAGACACTGCCGGCTCACGCAGGACGCAGGCTCTTTGGGGCCTTGGAAACGCCTAGCCTGGCTCACACTTCCAACAGTGCTGAGTCCTTCCTCCCCGCGGTGGTCCAGGGGCATGGGACTGCTCTGGGCGGGTGCGCGAGCGGCTGGCTGCCATCTGCCCAACTCTGATCTTCCCTACAGAGCAGCTCCACCCCTCATGCTTTGGGCGGGATCAGGGGTGGCCCTAACCCAGCCACGGCCACAGATGGGGACAACCCCCCACAGGAGCTGGTCCAGCAGACAGACAGAAGACACGAGAAGGGTCGCGTGGAGGCTTTCTATGAGATTAGATCTACGAATTTGGGGGTGGTGGGGGAGGGTATATCTTCCTGTGGATCACACACTATAAAGGTACAGGTGTGGGGCTTTCCTGCAGCCGTCCTTCCCACCACATTAAGAGGCTCTAAGCAAGTCACACAACCCTACGAACCTCAGTATTCTTGGCTCTAAAATGGGAACCAACTCCAGGGAATCAATGAAAACTACAAATCCACAGGGCAAAAAAGGCTAAAAATTACACCTGAAATTTAACTCCTTTTTGGACACAAACCTCAAAGAAACCTCAAAAACCTGTAATCTTCAAGCTCAAAAAAAAAAAATCACTAAAAAGCCACTCTGTGGCTTCTTAACAAACTAAAGAATTCTGCCGTCTAATCAAGCTGGGGACAGAAAGACAAGTAACGTATACATTACAAATGCGGACAGGCGCCCACCCTCAGGAGGCTGGGCGGTGGGCCCGGCCGGGGCAGCTGCAGGGCGGGTGAGGACTGGATGGCACAGCGGGGTGAGCCAACGGACAGCCACCAGGGTGCCCGCGAAGGAGAAGCCGTGCAGCTGGGCGGGCGGAGGGGACAAAATCCTGTTCCCTTATTTGGCCAGTTTCTCTGCCAGCACAGGCTACCACGAATAGAACACAGAACAGACTGGGATGACAACTAGTAGGAAGACAAGACCAAACAAGCGACACACAGACGAAGGCAGCCCAGTAGGAGGACCAGCGAGTCGAGTGGGAAGGGGCTGCCAGATGGCCATGCACCTCATGAGCTCTTAGGGAGAATTTCAGTCACTGTTTACACTGCTCCATTTCTCTAATAAGAGCGTCTCTATGGGCAATCCAGAAACACAATTGTGTGCGCTAAAATAATACTTCTCTCTCGGATGCAGCTATGTCACAACCATAGTGACAGTTGGGAGAAATGACAACTGAAAGTGGGATCTGTGTGGCAGAAAGAAAAAGCAGTCACAATAAAAATAGCTCTACTGGGAAGGGTTGGTTGCTGAGTGTTTACTACGGGCTTGGCACAGCCCTGCGCACTCAGCACGCGCCATCTCACTGGTCCTCACACCCACCGTGCAAGGTAGGCATTATTTCATCAGTTCGACAGGCAAGCAATCAGCGGTTTCGGGAAGGTGAGTGGGGCTGCACAGGTCGGCAGCAGCAGAGCCAGAGCCAGAAGTCGGGCCTGTCTGTTAGTGACTACCAGCAAAACTGGGACAAACACCACGTTTCAGTCCAAACGTGAGCTTGTGCCCGAACCTCACCTGCCAGCTGTGCTGCAATGCACCACGCATGGTCCTGTCCACAGGGCACCCCACGAACCCCACCATACGGACCCTCACCATGGCTCAGCAGCATCTCCAGGGATGGGTCTACTCAAGGACCACGTCCATGTTTACCCACTTTCAAAAGAGACGCTAATGTTTAAGGCTGAATACACGGTCTTCTCTCTTGCAAGAGGTATATGAAATCAACTGGAATAAAACACATTTGCAAAGGCAGGAGGAGACAGGCATTTCCCAGGGGAGCAGTCAGGGTGTGCTGTTCCAGGGGGAACGCACTGTGGAGACGCTTTTCCATTTACCGCAGGAGGCATCAGAGTCCATGGGCGGGACCAGAGGCCATGAAACTTCCTCTGGGAAGGGCCAGATAGCAAACACCTTAGGCTTTGAAAATCGGAGCTCTCTGTCCCACCACTCAGATCGGCAGTTGTAGAGCACAGGCAGCTGCAGGCACCCACAAACACTCGGGGGGGCTGCGTTCCAGTAACACACAGTCTGGCAGGCTGGACTCGGGCCACGGGGCCACAGCTTTCTCTGCAGCTGCTGCTCCCTCACAAGGCCTGTGGAGCCCACACTTTCGCTTCAACTAGGAAACCTCCTGGCTCAGGCCCAATCACACACCCATTCCAGGAGCCCCTACCGGACCCTACCAGATAACGTGAGCTGCATCCCCTAATGTCTCTGAGTCTTGGGGTGTTCTAATCACATGTTTATTTTTCTGGCTGTCCCTCTGAGCAACGAAGGGCCACAGAATGATTACAAGGGTAGACCCTAGAGTCAGGCTGCCTGGGTTCAAGGCCCAGTTCTACCAGTTCCTAGCTGTGTGACCCTGGAAAAATTATTCAACCTCTCTGTGCCTTAATGTTCTCATTTGTAAAATGGAGACATTAATAGCAGTATTTCAAGGGTTACTGTGGGATGAAGTGAGGTGGTTTATGTAAACCTCTTAGACATCAGCTGTCATTACTATTGTTCTCCAGGTGACAATCGTTACTCATCTCCACTTTCCAAGATCCTAGCTGAGTGCTTGTCTCAGAATAAGAGAGAATGAAGTGACTTGTAATGCTACAACTGGGCAGTGGGAAGGGCTGTAATGTAACGAGCACTGCTGGACTTCGACCATGTCCCAGCTGCAGGGCAAGCACTCACAACGACCCCACCAATCAATATATTATCATGTTATACATTCGGAGGTTATGGCACAGGGAGGTCGAAGTCACTCACCCAAAGTTACACAGTACATGACTTCTAGTGACAACCCGCTGACTGTCTCCAATAATACCCTTTGTCTGAATGTTTGTGCCCCCAAAATGCCTAGGTTGAGGCCCAAACCCTGCCCCCATGGGACTACATTTGGAGAAGGGACCTGTGAGGAGGTGAGAAAGGTTAAAAGGGGTCATCAGGGTGGGGCCCTAACCCAACAGGGCTGGTGTCCGCATGAGAGACCCCAGAGCTGGCTGTCTCTCTCTCTCTCTCTCCCTCTCCCTCTCCCTCTCTCTCTCTCTCACTCTCTCTCTCTCTCTCTCTCTGCCGTTGAGGACACAGCAAGGTCAGGCAACTGTCTGCAGGCCAGGTGAAGGGTCCACATCAGAACCTGAGCCACCACAACAGCCCCCAGCTCTCGGGCTTCTGGCCTCCAGACCTGTGAGAAATACACGTCTGTGGTAGAGCCAACTAATACGCCCCACACGCCTCCAGATGAACGTCCGGACACACGCTGCATAGTTTGACATAATTAATCCATGAGATCTTCGCCCTGATCAGCTATTCTTAAGCACAAATTCCCATTTGCTCCAGGCTCCACTCGCTATAGAAATCGCCAGACTCTGAAGAGCTTGACACCCAGCTAGTTAGGTCTCGGCAGCTATGCTTGAAAACAATGCAGTCATTCCCACATTCCACCAATTTAGGATGACCTCCTGGCAGAGCACAAAAACAGGAAAGAATGTGAATTAAGAAATCGTTTAACTACAAAGCACTCTTATTACTGTCAGATACACACAGTAACTCACTCGGTTAACTACAGGCCTGGAGAGGCGTCAGGCAGCTGGGCTTGAAGAACGGCAAGGAGGTGCAAAGAGGGAGTGGCAGGCAGCAGGCACGGCGACAGTCATCAGCCGGGGACCACGCTGGCCTAACTGTTATGACATGGGGGACAGCTTACCATCACTGAGGTCTTGGAGGACATTCTCCTGGCAAGAGAAATCCAGCTTCACTTTGATGTTGACGGTGAAAGTGGCCACCTTTCCAGGCTGCAAAGGAAACTGGGCAAGGGTTTCTTCTAGTTTCCAGCTCAGAAAGTCGCCGTACAATTTTTCTGCAATGACAATAACAATGGCAACGATGGTGATGGAACTGAGGGAATATGAGACTTACCAACACCCCTAGAAAATTCTGACGCATCTGCAAAAAGCAAAGAAAAATGCAAGCCATTTCCAGTGTGGCAGGTCCAAGTACCACGGCAATTCCAGAACCCTGGGTGCTGCGAGGCATCACCCACGTCTCTGAGAGAGGCACAGAGGAACCGGGCCACCCAGCCAGGAGCCCAGCCAGCTTCACAGCCACTGGGTGCCTTCCTCTCACTGACAGTCATCGCCTCTGCTCTCACAAACTCAATCAGAGTTCAGCCGCATTTCTCTACAGCCAGTGCTTCCTAGCACCTTAAAGAGAAACAGAGTGACAGCTAGGAGAAAGCCAGTCGGGCCCTGCTTGCTGGAGAGCCAGGTCCTGAAGCCACAGGAGGACTGAAGTGTGCCGGCCTCTAAACAGCCTGCCCATCTGCTAAAGCAGCGCTGGCCAGCCCTCCTGTGAAACGCCAACACCGGCTAAGATGCCCAGGCCCTGCAAAGATGCCGTCAGGCCACCAGCAGCCAGCCATTCACCCAGATCCTTTCCCATGGACGGGCTGGAACCAGGGGAGGGCTCTCGGGAGCACCTCCAGCTGAACCAGCATGGGCCCCGGGAAGAGAAGGCTGGTCTCGCCCCTCACCTGCCCCTCCGCCCCGTCCCCAGCCTCAACCCTGTGCCTGTTACCCATCCATCCTCACTGCTCCCTCTGCCCAGAAGGCCTGGCCCACTCCCCTGCAGAATGAATCCCGTCCGACTCGTCCCTGAGCCCGACTCCAAGGCTCCTGTGACGTCATGCCTTTCCCATCCCACCTTGCTCCTCTTTACTCTGGTGCACACACCTCTGTTAGAACAACATCCCATGTGTCTAGTGGCTTACTTTCCCCCCATCAATCAACAAACAGGAGCTCACGGCCACCTCAAAATGCAAGGTAATGTGCTCATAAAGGTAATGGTTCAGACACCGGCTTTAGGACAAAACTGCCTGGGTTCAAATCCTGGTTCTAGCTGGGTAGCATTAGGTAAGTTACCAAGCATCCACCTGCCTCACTTTATGCATCTATAAAATGGGTTCATGGACACGAAGTACTCAGAATAAGTATGTAACCAGTATCAGTTATTCCTGCTACTCCTGACCCCAGTTTCCTCATCCCGACTGGGGAATCAGAGCCCCCTGAACCAGAGCTGCCCGAGAAGCAAACAATTCCTGCGGAGTGCCCAAACTTGCGCAGGCTGCTGGTGGCATCAACCCCCTCCCCACTCAGCGACTAACAGCCCTGGCCCTCGGAAAACACTCAGTAAACGTGTGATGCAGAACAGACAAATTAGTCCAAAACATCATTGCAGATTTAGATGTAGAACAGATGGGTTTTAAGTTACATGAAAAAAGCAGAATACCACATTGAGTATACAATATAATTTCAACTGCATAAAAAAGTCACCTAGAAAACAAGAGGAAAGCATATCTATATGCTAATATTGGTTGTCATTGAATAGTGAGATCATGGGTCATTTCAAATTGTTTCTTATTTTTTGAATTTTCTACAGTGAGCATCTATCCCACTTTTGTAAACACACACACACACACACACACACACACACACACACGCTAACGGCTCACTCATGTATCTAAGTTCACCCCCGCCCATGCCCCTCCAGTGTACCAGAGAAGCCTGGTGAGGCTGGCTGCCAGCCAGAGCCTGCTCAGGACTGAGGTGGGTTCTGAGCCAGTGCAGCTGCTTTTTATGGTGCCCTACATCGGAGCCAGGCAATAATGTGAACTGATGACAAGGCCAGCAGCCACCTGGGCCATGCGGGGCAGTGTCTCAGTCCCCAGACTCAGCTCTGCCAGCTGGATAGACTGCTCCAAAGTGGTGGGTGGACTGCTGCAGCCATGCAAACTGGCAGATGGTCGAACGCCTGCATATTTGCCCAGGTCTACAAAAAGGGTCTGAACGACGCAGGTGAGCCTGCCTCTCCTTCCCACTTCCCGTGCTAACGTGGCAAGGCAGGGCTGCCCGGGAGGGAGGAAGGGGTGGGCGCAGGGAGCCCAAGAGAAATTTCTCCCCTGGAGTCCTTTTAAATAACAGCAAGCGACATAAGCACCTATGAAGCACCCCTCTAACTGCACACTGTACCTATTATTCTCACGTTCTAAGACAGGCCACTAGAGCTCAGAGAGTTTAAGCAGCACGTCCAAAGGCAAGCGGGTAAGAGAACCAGGAGTTGGAGTCGGGAGTAGCAGTGACCATGTTCTCTCCACGACACACCTTCCAGCTCGCCACTTACCGGAAGCCATTAACCCACCCACGTCACAGCCAGGGTGCAGTTGTGCACAAGGAAACCAGCACCAGGGGACGTAACGGTGCCCTGAAAAGAGATGGCAGGACGTAAAACGGAACTGCCAAGCACATGTGCCTCAGGGTCCGACAAGCCTGGGCGCGAGTGCCAGCGCTGCCACTTAGCAGCCCTAGAAGTCCCCAGCCGCAGGGCCACGCGGCCTGCCGCCTGCCCTCCCTGTCTCGCTGGTTCCTTCCCCACCCTTGTCCCCAGGGAGCTGGGCACATCAACACCTGCGGTGCTGATTAAATTCGGTCTTAAGACGAGCCTGTCGGGGAACTTCTCCAGCCTGACCCCGGAACTATGTAAAGCGCTGGGCTGTACGAGAAAGCAACGTGATCACGTGTACCAGGGCCGTCGAGCTGAATGGATTCCCGTCACTCATGAGTTTCAGTGTCTTCCCAGGGGGCACCCAGGATGTCCATTCACGGCGGCTACTTGAAGGCAGCAGAAACAATACAGGATGTGCCGCTGGAGTTCAGTTCGAGTCCACGAACATGCCTGGCACCCACTAAGTGCAGGTCCACCCGGACAGACCCCACGCACGATTCATATGGCTGGCACGGAGAGAGGCGGGCAGGCAGTGCACAGCAGGAGCGGCATGATGGCTTCTATGAGAAGGGGCAGGGAGGGTTCAGGAGGCGGCACGTGGACCGATCTGTGAGTGACGGAGAGAATCTGAGATGCAAATGGAACACCTGAGAGTTCACGAAGTTCTAAATCCACGCAAGTGTGTCAGGCCGGCGGACAAAGACTGTGGGAGCATGCGCTGCGCCCCAGAGGGCAGGGATGTGAAGCTGGTTCTGCTGGGGTCGCCCCTGTCCAGCACAATGGCCAACACGTAGGAGGTGCTGGTAAAGACTTGCTGAAGAGTCAGGCAGAAGGATGAACAACAGGTGGGAAGAAGACAGACAGATCAGCAAGCAGGGGAACCGGTGGTGAAAAGGGACAATGACGGAGTAGGTGCCCACCGGCCAGCTCCCCCCCCCACCACGAGCTCCCCAATGACCGGGATGACTGCTGTCCTGCCCCCAAGGCACAGTGCCCGAAACCGGCAGAGACCAGAGAAGTGTTTGTGCAAAAAAGAAAGAAGAAAAGCCGACAGCAAGCCTGATGATGACTTTCTTTGAATGCTGACCTAAGAAACTGAGTATGAGAAAGCTATAAAGAATGTGTAAGGAAGGTGACAAAGGAACCAACTGTCATTAGGGGGACTGCATGACATCTTGATGGGCGGGTCAGAAACGTTCATCTCCACGTCAGGGGCTTGTGACCACCGGGACCCACTCACCCCAAAGAGCCTAGAGGACAGCTGAGATGCCTGAGAGGCCCCCAGAGGTCTGTTTGACTCTCAATATCACTGATCCCTTTAAGAGCTCGCTCAAGAGTTTGAGCTCTGAGCAACAGCGGTTCGAGTCCAGCCCGAGCTGAGCAGCCGCTGAGCTGCCAACAGGTAGCAGGA